GAATATGATCATCTATCAAGACGATATATGTATTGGTGTTACTAGTAGAAAAGAGCTAAAAGAAAAAATGGATTATGTTTTAAACAAATTAAAAAATGCTGGGATACCCATAAACAAGGATAAATGTGTGTTAAATTGCGACATAATAACATATTTGAGATACCAGATTTCTAAAGATGAAATTTCACCAGACACAAATTTCTTAAAGAAAATAGCAGAGGTATCTACACTTACAAATAAAAAAGAATCTTTTTTAGGGTTAACCAATTCTTACAGGAGATATTTGCCAAAGTATAGTGAATTGATAGAACCCTTAGTAGGGTTATGAAAAAAGAATAACAAATTTAAATGGACTCAATAGCAGAATAGAACATTTTGAAAATTTAAAGAAGGAACTTATAAAAAAAAACCCTGTTGTAAAAATTTGAAAGTTACTTTAACTACAAATGCAAGTGAGTATGCCATATCAATGATTTTCTCTAAAGAAGGTCATCCTATAATGTATCTTTCTAGGTTAACATCAACTGTGGCTAACTATTGAAACATTGAAAAAGAAGTATTAGCTATCATATAGAATACATATAAAGCTTACCAATTTTTATTAGGTAGGAAGTTTCTGTTTAAATTTGACCATAAACCTTTAGAGTTTATTATTAATTCCAGGAAGGAGTTACCTAGTTACATCTAGAATTTTAAGATAAGCCATAAAGATCATAGACTTTGACTTTGATATCAAATATGTGAAAGGAAACACTATTTCAGATGTAGATGCTCTATCAAAACTAAAGTTAATCAGCAATGAATGATTAGAAAGATCAGACAATTCAGAAGATAAAATATTGCACTGGACTGAAAGAGATGTAGTACCCTTAGATTGTCTTGAAATCTTACAGGATCTGGTATTAAGCAAGATTGCATGTAGATTTAAAAGAAACAAATAGCGATTGTTCAAGGACAGAGAAACTCTATAAAGAGAAAAGGCACAGATTAACTATATAGGGAGGGCCTTAATATGCAATGGAGATGTTTTAATACCAGCAGAGAGATTAAGAAAAGATGTAATAAAAAGTGTACATGATAATGTTCATTGTGGAATAATAGTAACATGGAGACAATTAAAATTGGGAGTGCGATGGCTTGGGTATTTGCATATTGTAGAAAAATACATATGTAAGTGCCCAAAATATAGGGAAATAAAAAAACTTTTGCCAAACTGTGATATAGGCACGGCCTAAAGAAAAAGGCCTATAGGCCCTTGTTCGTATGGATCATGTGCATGTTAAAGGTATAGGACTATTTTTAATTTTGGTTGACTCATTCTCTGGATGGCCTGAAGTGGTTAGAGTTCAGTATAGGTAGGCAGCCATGATAAAGCAAGTATTATGAGTAATATTTTCCAGGATTGGCATGTCAAAAATTGTCTCTGACAATGCACCAGAATTTTGTGATGAAACTTTGTGTTCATGGTTAAAAAAAATTAGATACCTCCCTTAGTAAACACCACCATACCGCCTGCAATTGAATGGAATTGCAGAAAGAATGGTGCAGGCGGTGAAAATGGGGTTGAAAGCATTTTCCTGATGCAAAGACACCATAAATGGTTACCTACCAAGACTATTAATGAGTTATAGAACTATTCCATCTGCTGGTAGAATGCAAGGTCCATCTGCATTGACAAATTAGATTGCCTATAACAATGTCCTATTCAATAAATAAAAAAAATTGTGGTACACAAAAAAAAAGAGAGAATCAAGTCCTGAGAAAGCTTTGGTGAACAGTCCTGTAGAAGCAAGTGAGCCAGAGTGGCTTGCATTTGGTGCATAGGTAAATAAGGGTCTTACCTTAACATGTGGCATCAGCAAGTTTGTTCTGTGAAAATGGCATTACTCTCCTGTGTAGCCATTGCAGCAGTATGTATGGTAATGAGGGTTTTTGTACACTTTGGCATGCTTCGACCAATAATAAGTTATATGCTGATTAGTTGAACTGGAGGAGGCTATTTACTTGGGTAATTGAGAAAAAGCAAAGAACACTGATTGATTGGTTGACTGCAGTGTTGACCTGATAAAAGAGGGCTGAAGCAGTGAGAAGAAAAAGACGGATTTATGTTTTGAAGTGTTTGGAAAGCAAGAATGGCGGATTGAACCAGCGGTATATTGATTTGTACAAGTGACGTCTTAGTAATAGAGACTCGTTTAAGCTACACTAACTTTATTGCACAAAATGGGCGTAATACAGCTCTAATAGCAACAAGTAGACAGAATTTATTAGCTCATTCTGATCAAATGAAACCTAGAATCGATGATGAAGAAGTCAAGATGGAAGAAGAGGAGGAACCTGAAAGCATAAGTGTTTCCAATGAAGAGAGCGAACACAGTAGTAAAGAAACTATGGAGGATAATTTGCATGAATCCAACATGAAGTTGGAATAGCAGAATGAAGATGAGTCCAGATTTACTTCCCTTGAAAAAGGAACTAGGTACGCACCCCGAGAGAGAGATAAGATCTCGTACCATAGTTCAGAGAAGTCACAGATTTAAGGATGGCATTAAAACCTCTTCATTTCTGGGAGGTGTAGTGACAGAAGTAAAATGGACTTAACCTATTTTGCTTAGAGTCAAGTGACTACTAATAATTCAGTTGTCATTCTGTACAGAGAGAGAAATTCTACATCACAAATTAGAAGACAACAGAACAATTTCATTAAAACTCAAAAATGGAGATTTGTAATTTTTTTCATTTTCATATGATGACTTCATATTGCGTGGCGGTTCAAGGGACATAACTCTATAAAAAGATTATACTTGTGTATTCAGAATAGATATTTATTTATTGTTAATGTCTACTATTGAAACTATGATATAAAAATATGGCTGCATTTTAATTTGACAATGAAATTAGAATCCAAGAATTAGAATTAACTGTTAGGTTAATAGAAATTCTTTACCATGGAATGTTTGTAAAATTTGTGTGAATTAAGTAAAAACTCATTAAATACCTTGTTTGATTTTTATGGTCTAAGGATAAAAGATTAGAAGATTTTTGGATTTGGTTATGATGTGGTGCAGTTAAATTTGTTAGTTCTCTAATCAATTACAGGAGGGGGTGTCAAACATACAAAATTATGTAACTTTCCAAGTCACAACCTTGGGAAGCAACTATGGATCATTTCAAATTTGTTCCTTCAAATTGTGGTACATATGCAAGACTGTCATTTTTTTTATTTCATCTTCAAATCTTTTAAGATTTGCTGATATGAACTCTTAAGACAAACCACTCACCTGACAGTGATGTTTTTTTTTTTTTTATTGTAAGGAATGTTTTAAGATTTTACTCATTTTGAAGAGCTACCAGGTCGTAGTTGGGCTTAAAGTGACATTTCACAATATTTGAAATGCAAATATCAAGATCTGTTTACTTGCAATTTACATAAAGTTTCTCTCCTAAAAAGTTTCTCAAAGAATTCTGACATTTTTTGCAGCAGTTTTTGCCTTCCAAAGAAAACAGTTTTCACACCTGCACATTGTTTCACAATACAGACCTGGTTCATGACTCATGAAACCCAACTGCACAATTTTAATTTTTTGTTTTTTGTTTGGTGGGGTTCAGTCCTCTTTCTATGTCACCAATTATAAAACATTTATATTGTTTTGGTGTACTTTTAAAGAAAGTTGCAAAAAAAAAAAAAAAAAATGTTGATCATTAATATTGATGGACTATTTACACATTGAAAGCCAATAATTTCAACCAGTGACTGATTTGACTTTTATGGACAATCATCACCTTTCAGTTTCTACAAACCTTTTTTTTTTTTTTTTTTTGATCATTATGGACAAAATGAAATTATCTTGCCTGTCTGGATCACTTTCCTTTTCTACTCACCAAACTTTTAGCTAAGAAAAGCTGTAACCATTATATCTTTCTCTTCACATTTTTCTTCATAAAATAACTCAGTTGTGATTAATATTTTATTGTGTTTGCATGAATTTTTTTTTTTAAAAATTGTTTTAACTTTTAATCAAGAGACAAAAGATATGAAAATGAAAATCTTCACATTTTTTTAAATGTCACATTTTAACAAAATTTTATTGAAAACTTTAAAATTTGCTTTCAATTGACAAATTTTGAACATTGATTGACTGATTTTGCTTTTTTTTTTTTTTTAATCATCATTGATTTTGTTTTTTTTTTGTTTTTTTAATCATCATTGACTGATTTTGTTTTTTTTACTTGAATTCTAATGAACACTGATTTGGTTTTATTAACAATTTCTCCAAATTTTCTCATTTAGTCATAAAAAGGTTTTATTTACAATTAAAATTTGTTTCTTTCACCACTTTTTGATTTGATCTTATCAAATTGTGAAATGAAAGTTGGTTGAATGGCCACTCTTCTAGATCTTTTTACATTAATGTGGGTGTCCCTCTCCAGGTCTCTGTCTTTACCTACTTTTTCCCTAACTTTCCTGAACAACTTTCTCTGGTGTCATCAGTTCTCAACTCGGTATTTATGCTGATGACATAGCATTTAGACAGGAGTAAATAGTTAAGTTCAATTGATGTTCGATAAAGTCTAATTGGCAGCTGATTTCAAAAATGTCATGAACTGGGGCAAGAAATGACTTGTAAATTTTAACTCCTCAAAAAATCTGTCTCCTTAATTCCTGTTCTTTTATTGTCCTCTCTCGCTCTCTAAAGTAATGTTTTTTTCCTCACATTCTGTCACACTCAGTAACTCCTTGTGTCTTCATGTTACTTGGAGTGAAATAATAAACATCTCTAAATCTGCAATGTTATCAGTTCTTATCTGGTATCTCAGCTTAGTCACTTTCTAACTGCCATAATGTGGCTTCACTACCTTTTCTATAAATATTCACACTCAATAATCTCTTGTATCTTAGTGGCATTATTGCTTTTCTTGGGGTGAAATGATTTTTTTTTTTTTTTTGGAAACTTATTTACTTAGAATATTTTTCACAATATATTCATTTTTATTTTCAGTCGAAGAACATCTCAATTCATGCAAAAGTCCAGGAGAGAATCTTAAAGAATTTATTCTCAGGTGAGAAAATTATATAAACATGAAGCTTGTACACAACAGTGTAACTTTACCTCTTTCTTGCTGTTGTCATATCTGAAGGAGTGAAATTCAGTCAAAGATTTTCCTTTATATGATCTGTACAATGTGCATTTTTTAAATGTTTTAGGGGAATAACTAGGATATAAAAATTCAGATTGTATTTATACCAATGCAACCAGAAGTTATCGCAAGAAAAATATTAATGAAACAAATATATTTTACAAATATATCATTTGAATTTATTGCATATAATTTTAGTGAAACAAAGTATTAATATTAAACATGATGAAATTAATTTAATTGATATATTATCAATGATAACATTTTTAATCTGCATAATAGCCTTTTAAATAATGACAATAGGTATATGAAAGTTACTTTAAAGTCTAAACTAATAGGAGTTTCCACAACTATTGTGAATTTTAAACCTACATATGACATATAAGATGCAAAGGAATTTTAAAAGATATTTTTAGTAGAAAAAAGTGTGTCCTATATGCCATCAAATACGGTAATTTACCTGTTTTTTTTTACTATCAATGAAATAAATTGAAAATTATAAATTTTTGTTGTAGATTTTGTAATATTTAAAAATGACATTGATCAAAGTTTTAATTTAAAATAAAAATAACTTGTTTGCTGTTGTTTATTTGTAAAAAAACAAAGAAGTTATTGAGAGTGAAAAAGAGTTTGATAAAAAAGAAGAAATTAAGAAGAGAAGGTCAATAAAAGAAGTGGAATTAAGGAGATGGATGATGACGATTGATGTTTTCACATGTTTCATAAACAAGGTGTGTAAGAGAAGAAACTATGGTTAAATCTCTCCATTTCAACTATAATGGGACCTAGCAGCCAATCTAGTACTGCGATTAATTTCATAAAATCAAGGTACCAAAGAGGAAAGCTCATGAGAACAATTACCATGGGAATATTTATAGAAAAGGCAGAGGGTAGCCATGTTATGCCAGTGAGGAAAATGACTGAAAGAGAGATGCCGGGTGAATCAATAACATTGCAGATTCTTCTTTGGATTTTATCAAGAATTTAAATACATAACAGAATCACCAAACCAGTGTCTTTGTGGTGTCCCTATGCAGACTGAGTAATTCAATGAGAGTGTCAGTTCATGCATGTGCAGTAAGTTCCCCTCTGATAGGTTATCAAGTTACATCAAGGCCACACAACCAATTCTTAAGATATTAAAAATGGTTGGATACTTTATAGTCATCTTATATCATTGTTTTATTATTATTATTATTATTATTAAATGCTTTTCATTAGAGGGTAATAGAATAAACACATAGATAATGACTTAGACAATTTTTCAATCTAATTTGTATCACTTATAAACATCCTTATCACATTGAGAATAAAACATTATTTTTTAATATTGTCCCTGTTTAATTTTTGTTGTTTCTATTAAACTGTTTTGTTTGTAAACACCTGCTGAATGTTTTTTTTTTCTTTTCTAATTATTTATCTTCAGGTTAGCAGAAGATCAAAATGATACATTTGGATTAGCAGTAAAGAATTTTGTTGAATGTACTTTGGAAAGCCAGAAACAGAATCCTCATTTTGTGATGAGAAATGTAAGTAATATTTTTAGTACATTTATCAAACTTCAATATTACAATGATGAAACATCAGAATATTAGTTTTGGCAAGTGGGTCAGGCTGAAAATATATAGGAATTATTTTACTATGATTTTTGACCTTTTCGTAGACTTTTACATCACCAGTACCAATAGTTGGTGTTTGAACCAAAGTTAAAAATGAAATAAAAGCAGGATTTTGATTTTCAACATTGACAGTCTCTCTCCATTTGGAAAATTTGGCAGAGAACAAATTTTTCCACTTCATATTTAAAGTTTTTGATTGATTTGATTTTCATGACTTATTAACCTTTTGAGGGTTATTTAAAGCCACTAAATATTTCTAGATTGTAAGATTTTTTTTTTTTTTTTTTGAGGTAATAATGATTTACTGACACAAGTCCTACTAATGAGAGGAAGAGGTGGAGTCATACTCTTTCTCAAGGGTATTTGCATGTAATAATACAACAAACCAGAGTAGAATTGAAACTTTGCTCTCTGATTTCCAATTCTGAGCTGGTATTCCTTACACTACCTGCACATCCAAGCTGACAGAACCTGGATTTCCTAAGCAGTCACCCATCTAGGTTTGACCTGGCTTGATATTGCTTAACTTCAATGATCATACAAGAACTGGTGTTTCAATGTGGTATGGCTGTAATCTTGACCTAAATTATTGATTAAATTGAGTAAATGCAATTTGAATGAGAAAAAAAGAAAAGGAAAACATTATCACCTGTGCTCCTGCAATTTCTAAGTTAAATCTGCCTGTCTTTTTTATCTGTAAAAAGAGGCATAAAGAAAAGAAAGGAACAGCAGGAAAAAAAAAAAAAAAAAAAGAATGGAAAGAAATAGACGCGCACATGTGTGTGTCTCTCTCTCTCTCTCTCTCTATATATATATATATATATATATATATATATATATACACACACACATATATATATATATATATATATATATATATATATATAAAAAAATTTCACACACTTTGTTTTTATGGAGTTGTAAGGTTGGCAAGACAAGATAAAGAACGGAATACATAAAACTACACAATGAAATAAGGAACAAATACAGGCAGGCTAAAGAAGAATGGTTAAACAAAATATGTGTATAAATAGTGATTGAGTATCACTAACAAAGGAGATGTGCATAAATAAATAAGGGAACAAAAAGGACAGAAGACATGCTCATCAACAGGCTGCATAAAATCAAAGGATGGAACTCTTATATTATTCTTCAGTGCTGGAAAAATATGTTGGAGAACTCTTCCACAATGAAAGAGAACAACCAACAATACAGAGAGCTACCAATGGTCCTGAAATTCTAAAAACCAAAGTAGAAGCTGCACTGGTGAAATTGACTAGAAACAAGGTGGCAAGGCCAGACGAAATTGTAACGGAAATACTTGACAGCTTTAGATGATTTTGGCATAGACAAGATTACAGAAATAATAAATGAAATCTACAACAGTGGTGATATATCGGAAGATCTCAGCAGATCTATTTTCATAGCAATGCCTAAAGAAAACAGGCATAAATGAATGTGGACTCCACCAAACAATAAGCCTAATGAGCCACATAACAAAACTCATCATCTGAAATCTGATGAATAGAGCGTGCCACAGAATCAGGCCAAAGATAGGACAAGAACAGTGTGGATTCATTAAAAACACTGGAAGAAGGAATGTAATATTCATGCTCAGAGTGTTATAAGAAAGCGCAATACAAATGCAGAAGGATGTGTACCTATGTTTTATAGACTACACAAAGGCGTCCGACAAAGTACACCACAAAGATCTGTTGGATCTGCTTAGCAACCTTGATATATTTAGGAAAGATATTAGAATAATCAAGAGCCTATACTAGCAGCAAATGGCCTGCATGTGGATAGAGAATGAGTTCAGCAGATATAGAAAAAAATAGAGGCGTCAGGCAAGGATGTGTCTTCTCACCGGACTTATTCAACCTATAGAGTAAGGCAGTTCTGAGAGAACTGGAAATCCTACCGGGATTCATTATTGGTGGCCACAATCTTAACAACATAAGATACGCAGATAACACAGTGCTGATGGCAGACATGGAAAGGAAATTACAAAACCTTCCACAGAAGGTAGAGAAGGAGAGTGAGAAGAAAGGACTAAGCATAAACTACAAGAAGACAGAATGCATGGTCATCAGTAAAAAAGATGAGCCCGAAATGCGATTTACAGGTGAAAGACATTAAAATCAAGCAGGTGCAGAAATTTAAATATCTGGGAAATGTTCTGATAGAGGACAGTAAGTGTGATTCTGATAACCAAAGACACTGGAATGGCCAAAGACACATTCCAAAAGCTAAACAGAGTATTATGAAACAGGAAGGTTTCATTGGTAACAAAGAAAAGTGTACTGAACTGTTATGTGATACCTGTCCTCCTTTACGGCAGTGAATGTTGGACGATCTCCTTAAAGATGAAGAAGAGACTTGAGGCAACGGAGGTGTAATTCTACAGAAGGATGTTAAGGATAACGGACCAAACATGTGAGCAATGATGAGGTTTTGGAGAAGATGCAAACAAGGAGGAAGCTTAGACTTAACATCAGGAAGAGGCAGCTGAAATTTCTGGGACATATAATGAGAAAGGAGGGATTGGAGAATCTGATACTAACAGGTTGAATAGAGGGAAAGAGAGACAAGAGAAAGCAATACCTGATATACCTAGTGGGCTTAAGCAAATGGATGACGGAACAGGGTTTGGGAGAAGTAACAAAGGGACAAAACATATTGAGAGCTACAAGGGATAGCGTGAAGTGGAGGGCCATGATCGCCTACGTCCCGAGGGGACATGGCACATAAAAAGTTTCAAGCTTGATTACAAAAAAAAAACTTAAATAATACAATGCTACTTGCAATAGTTCCTTGCCTCCACTTCTGTCCATTCTTCTTTACCCACATGATATATCTAATAGACAACCAGAGCGTTATTCTTCCAGCCATTCTCCCATGATGCAATCTACTTCCTCCCTCTCACCCAACAAATCAACCCTCTCCCTGCTGTCTTCTCTTTCTTTCATTTTCCATTTCCACAATGGACCTGTTAGCAGGAAATAAACTAAGTTTAACTAACTTATTTTTTTCACTCTTTCTCTTCATCAAAGTAAATATCTATAAAAGGTTAACAGTCTCTCTCTCTTTCTCTCTCTCTCCCCTCCCTCCCCTCATTGTTCTGGGAGGCATTTATCCTTGCTCCACACAGGAACTCAATACCCTGGAAGAGAGATGACCTCATTTCACACAGGAGCTTATTTTTCTGGAAGGCAGCCAATTTGTGTTTTTTTAACTGAGGATGATGAATGACAGTGTCATCCACAGGTATTTTAGAAATGGATGTTTGAACTTTCCCTCACAGCACTGAATCTTGATTTTCTGGATTATTCCTTGGGATTTGGTAAATTATGTTTTAGAAACCATTTTTTTATGGTGCTACCCAAATGTCTTAAGTTCTTCACTGTTAGTTGTGCTTTAATTTCAAAGGAGTTAAATTGTCTTGCTGGATACATGTCCTCCTTTACACAGATAAACCTGTATATTAAGGAATAATTACTTGGATATATTCTTAAACATTAAACTTGGAGAACCGATCCTAATGGTAAAGTTCTATTTGTTCTTAATTCCAATCATCCCTAAAATAAATTCTGTGATTTTCTTGAACTCTTTTGTTTTTTTTTTAAACTACTTTTATTGCAGCTTTATTTCATATTTTAGGTAGTTTCAGTAAAAGACCTTTGTGTTGCACAGTGTAATATTCTACTGTTAGGGACTTGGCCACTGAATTGGACTGGGTTATATTTAGAACATGACTGTAGCAAAAGTGGCTTGATCTGGTGTCAGAAAATCTTCAATCTCAGGAGATATTCTTTTCATTATTAAACTTTCAAGTTGATAAAGTCTACACAGCAAGAATTGTTTGGGGAATGTTAGTCTTTATTGGATCTTAGAAGAGCAAATACTTTTCAGGAATTTTTACTGTTGGAGTAATAGGAGTCAGTGGAATGTTGTTTTAGGAATTTGTTAGGAACCCCATTGTAGTGAACGAGATAATCAAGTACCCCGGAAAAAAGTTCGTGTTTTGTGTGCGATCTGCCGAAGAAGGATTACCCTTCCCCGTACAAAGGCTAAAAGTGTTCAATGGCCGAAATGTTGTGACAAATATGGCAACAAAGATGAGTATCATAATCTGAGCAATGTAAATAGTATTTTCCATAGAATTTAAAAATATGAATAATTTAATAAACAAAAGGAATTAAATTATTTTTAACTGTCAGCTGATGGATTCCTTGTGTGAAAGGAACAGTCAATTTCTGAAATGTTAATAATAAACAACCACCAATTTTGAAGAAATAAGTGTAAAAAAAAAAGTACTGTTTATATGTAAATATAACAAAAATACTATTTAACACACAGTAGCAGTCTCTTTCATAGTTGAACACAATCTTCAGGACACATTATACTGACGTTCATGTTCACATACACACCAATGTTCTACCTAAATGACATCTCTTTTGAATTTGTCAGAAAACTAATGAACAATAAAATAAACTGTTCATGTTTCATCATTTTAAAAAGATTTTGTATCATCAATTGTGAATGTCAAAATGTTGCTCTTGATCCACTTGATTAAATGATTTAAAATTAATTTGATCAATTATTTTGACTTTATGGTTATTTTTTGAGACTTTACTTTCAATGAATTATCAAGTCTTGTAAAGTCACAGAGAGCCAAATCAGGACTGGAGGTGGGTTGTGGGGGTGTGGACAATCCTAGGGGGGTAATGTTTTATCCCAAAAACCTTACATAAAAGATGAGAAGAATGAGTAGTCTCATTATCATGATGATTATTACAGTTTATGCAGCACATAAATTTATTTTGCTGTGTTTTACTGTTGACTAAGTATCTTCCTTCCACGCATACATACATGGCAGGGGCGTGCAACCTTTTTGAGAGTGCAAGCCAAAAATGGCCAAATCTCTTGACACCAAATTTTTCCACATGCCAACAAAAATTTTTTGAGAACATTATCTCTTAAGTATGGGAAAAACTTTTTTAAATGTTAAAAAATCACCCCAGACCAGTAAAGACATGATATTATAAGAAATTATGTAAATCATGTTAAACTGACAATGAAAAAAATGATGACAGGTTTTTACAAAAAGGTTTTTTTGTGATATTTTTTTATTAGCCTGCAAGTATAAATGTAACTGCCATACATGTTCACACAATTTAAAGACATGATTAAGTTTAATCTCTAATCGCTCCTTTTCAATATTTTCCAAGTCAAATCTAAGGTAAACAAATTTCTGCTTCCAAATTGAGCTACTCTGAAATTGAATCAACTGCATTTCAAAATCATCCATGTCTACCCATGAAAACATTTGCAAGTTTAGTTCATCCAGTTTAATATTGCCTCAAAACAATGAATTTTACTGCTTCTTCCAGTTCTCTGAATTTATCAAATCTTGTAAAGAACTGCTCAACAGTTGATTCAATGATGTTTACAAACAACTTTTGAAGACATTATCAGTCTGTCCTGCCATCTTTTGGGAGATCATTGATATACCTCTTTAGGTTTGTGAAGTATTCTAAATATCTCATTATCTACATTCCCCTCTTAAAAACTTATAGTTTCATTTCAAAAGCCTTTATGTAACCAAACATAACAAGTGTCTTACCAGAGCCCTGCAATTTAATATTCTAATCATTTAAATGTTCACAAAAACCTGCAAAAAACATCAGTTTACAAACCCACATGATGTCAGACAATTCTTGGTAAGACACTTGTTGGTGATTTAAAACCAGCTTTATCTCATCTAATCTAAATGATTCAATAAATCATTTTAGAACCAAACCTTGGCTAAGCCAATGAACATTGTTGAACATTTTCAGTTCTTTATATACAGATTCTATCTCATTTAGTAAAATTTGAAATTGTCTTTTATTTAAAGACCGAGGAGAAATGTAATTTACCATCTTGGTAACTGTTTGTATCAATTCCTAAAGTTCCTTTTGCACACAAAGCCTCCTCATGTATGATGCAATGAAAACCTATCAGTAGATGACCAACATCTTTTGTAAACAGATTTATAAATCAATTTTGGGAAAAAAAAAAGATTAATGAAATGTGTTTATGATGACAAAATACATTTGATATGTTGTACAAATGAGATTTGTATTGATGTGTGTCAGAATTATTTGCTTTTTCTGCTGTGATGTCTAAATTGTCTGATCCTAACAATTCTATTTTCTTCTAGATGAGACAATTCATGACAGGAATAAAAAATTATCTGCTTCACAATAGTCAGGAAGGCCTGAATTTGTTGATAGAACGGGAATCTAGTCGTGTAAGTGCATTTTATTTTATTGATTTCATTACAAAATATTGAATCTTCTCAGTATTCTTGAAATATTCCGTACCTGACTTTGATCCACACTTTAATGAGCAACTAAAAATGATCTCCTTAAAGCAAACTCTTCATAAAATTATAATTTTTCAGTTCAGTATTCAGACAATATTCTTATTTGTTTTTAATCATATTTTTTTTTAAAAAAAACAAAAGTTTTTTTTTATGTAAATAAGAAAAATTAAAATTTCTGTTTTAAATTACTGAGTTTGAATATGAATGGATTGTGTCTTGCTTTTGTCTTAAAATATATTTCTGTTGGTTTGAAATATTGAGTTTGTAAGTGTTAGCCATATACGGGACATGATAAATGTGGCAGATTATAAATGTTGACCATATACTGGACATGATAATTATGGCAGATAAGTGTTATCCTTATATGGGATATAAGTTATTGAAAAATTTGATGTAATGTTTTTTCTTCCTTTCTCATTAACAATATTGAAATGATGTTATTATTTCATTGTTTTCTTCTTTACTTCAGCTTGGTACAAATGAGATTCTTAATATTGATGCCATTATTGAAAGTGCTTTACATGAATGTGTGATCCTGCCATTGAAAGAACATGTTTACCAATTATTAGCCACTGACTACACAAGGTCAGCATACAGAAGGCATTTTATTTTTAACTTTAAAGCAAAATCTATTATACAAATAGCCTCTTTCAACACTGACTATATTGTAGAGTTTTTAATATTTTAGAACAGTTAAGAAAATAGTTTATCATTTAATATTTCTTTTAATCACACAAATTAATTTTATACTATTTTATGTTAACAGATATTATTATTATTATTAATTTTTACTAATATTTCTTTTTTTATTATTTTGCTTTTTATTATTGTTCCAAGACTGTCAGTCAATTCATCTTTAGTAATCAGCATTGCAATTGGAAATAGAATTTTATTTTCCAACCTTTATTTCTTGACTAACAACTTTGAAATGATGCTCTGCAACTGACAATAAAAAGCAAGAGAAATATGAAAAATACTTTTTAAAAAGAAAATATTAGTACCTCATTTTTAAAAGAAAATCAAATGATATAAACAAATATATTTAAAAATAACCATGAGATTTTAATATGACAACATACATAATTCATTTTTATTTTATTTTCCATATCCTTTGTATTTCTTTTCAATGAATTAACTGAATGCCAACCTAATTATGGGGACCTGTTTGATTTGAATTCTGTTATTGGATAATTTAACAAATATTTTTAATATATAATGTATATCTCAATATTTATTAGCAGTAATAAGTTGTCACATATAGATGTTAATATGTTGGAGTTATATGAAATGCATTTTTAAAACTGAATCTTTCTTTTAAATAACACTTATTTTTTTATTTCTTTTTATAATAGCAGAAAAAAAAAAGAAAATTGATATAAAAAAAAAAAATTATTTTTCATTCAAGGACATCATAAGATTTGATTTTATAACCATTTTATTTATATTCAAAAGAATTGATTGTTTTTTTCACCTTTTTGGAATGTTAAGAAATTTTTCTTCCCTTTTTAATGTGATAATCCATGAATATAAAATTTACTATTATATTTTATAAGCTGTTGTTTTTTTTTTTTTTTTTTTTTTTTAGGAATGGAAGTGTGTCAACTTTGCATGAAAATATTGTCTATGCTAGAACAAGACCGTTAAGTGATCTGGGACTTAGGGTAAGTAATAATAATAACTCTTGCTCAAACATGTCTACCCACTAAATATATATAAGAAATATATAAATGTATTTTCACTAAAATTATATATCTTTTTCTTTTGAGATTTATTCATTACAGAAATTTGTCCTTTTTGGATTTAAAAATTATTTTCCCATAAGAACAAAATTGAATCCTCATATTTTCAGTTGTAAGTTCTCATCTTAAACAGCCAATCAAAAAAGCTGATTCAAAGTTTACTTATCAGAAATGGTAGACATTTTAAAACTGAAAAGGTTAAAATAACAATTGAAATATTCAAATTTGTCACAACAAAATGGACAAATTAGAAAAATCTTTTTTATTTTGATATTTCTTTTCTCAAGAACTTGATTTGCCAAGATAAATGCTTTATTATTATTATTATTATTATTATTACATTGTTTAGTGTTGTTATTGTAGGGTCATCTATCTCCACCTGATAAAGAGGATTTGGAACAGATCCGAGAATATCTTGGTCAAATCCAACAAGCGTATTCACCAATCAAGAAACTGAAAAATCTACTAAAAGCTTCTTTCTGTATTACGAGCTGTGTAAGTTTTTTTCCTTAATTTTTTGGTATCTATTTATATTCTTTAATTATTGACACCAAAGTATGTATTTTTTGGAAACTCTTTGTCACATATTAACAAATTGGATACTTTCCATTATAAATAAGTTACTCTTTTAAAAATCTCTTAAAGATTTGTTTGAAAAGTATCCAACCAATTTGAATATCTCAAGCACCAGCTGTGTAGCATTGATGTAATTTGATAAACAATCAAAGGAGACCTTACTGTGCATGCAGAAGCAGTAATTCAACTTGTGAAGTTATTCAGTTGATCCAGTAAGATACTAGTGAGTGAGACTGTATATTAGATGATTATAAACTTTTTTTTTTTTCACTCAAAATATCCAAATTAGAATATTCTCCCCAAGTCCAAAGCCCGGGGTTTTCAGGCCATGAATGAGATTAAGGAGAAATAGTTGAGACAGCTGATGATGGTCTTGAAAGAGGATTTTGCAAATTATTTTGAAAGTTGAAAGAGATACTGACTGGGTCAGTCGCGGGGGTGTATTTTGAAGTGGACCAAGATGTCATTGCCCTGGTTTGGTTACTTTAATGTCAATCTTAAATCACAAATTATTTTGAGACAGATCTCATAATTTTGGAGAGTAATGTGTCCACTAGAACTAAAAATAATGTTATAAAATATTTTTGCCAAAATTTGAAATTTCTTTATGGTTCTCATTAGATGGCATCTGTGTTTATCTTGACAACACTCAGCAATCTTGTTTATTTGACAGTTTCAAAACAAATCATACTTTGGTCATTATGACCCATGGAGATTTTGGTGGGATTTGGGGGCTCAATTGCTGTCCATGCTTTTATTATATCTTTAATGTATCAATTTATCAACAAATAAAATATTTTCTCATTTAATAAAACCAAAAAATTAAATCCTATTTTGTTTTGTGAATTCTAAAAAGATGGTTCCTCCTTTTTATTCAAATTTTTAAAATTCTATTTCCAGTTGAATGGCCACAGTAAAAATGGGAGAGCAAGCTGTTCAGTACAAACCGATGGTAATTTTATTGATTTCTATTCAATTTATCTGAAATCATTCTTTACCTCTTCTCATTCCTTCATACATTTTCTTATAATTTGCTTGGGGGTGAAATGATTTAAAAAAAAAAAAAGAAAAAAACACTGAAAGCAGTGAGGGGAGTAAACTCAGACAAAAAAAAAAACAAATCTCACCTTTGGAATGTGTGGAGGTATTAAAAGATGGTGGTGCCTACAGTGATTGACTTGTTTCTGATTGCATTTTGCATCTGCTTAGCAGGAGAACATCATTCTCAACTTGCAAGGAGAGACCTTCTTTACGATTGAAACATTGCAATGTTTAGTAGAGTTGTAAACGTTAATTGTACAAAGTTTTATGAGATACAACCTTAAAATATAATCATTGAATCTAACTATTTAACATAATGTTCACTTCAGTTTTGATTTGATGAGGAGAAGGAACATTTGTAATTTTACCATGTAATAGAACCAAATCTTATAGAATGATAAATGAGGAACAAAGAGGGAAGAATTTAACATGTTTCATTTTAATTTTAGCTTCATCAGAAATTCTTTTTTGGAAATAAGTTATGAACATGAATGTTTGGTACTTTGAATTCTGTGTTTGTATGTTTTTCGTTGATCGCACATAGATTTTACATGTTTTTGTCTTGTGGTATTAGGGTGTGTGTGTAAACGCTTCCAAATTCTAGTGTGCATTTTTGGTGTCTGTCTGGTAGTGTCTGTGTGTGTGTGTTTAATTCCTGAAGATGGTAGTGGGAAGAAATAGAAAAGGTATGTGTTGTTTGAATTTGAAAAACAGAACATGCACCAGGCTGTTGGCTGCCTTTTATGAATGTTTTTTTTAATTAAGATAGTAATAATAATATAATAATTTATTATTATTCCTCCTCCTCCTCTTAGGCTAAAGCAAAGTAGCAAATAGATGCATTATGTACAAATTCTAATTTAAAGTGATACTTAGCATGTACAGAGTTTATAGTTTCTTTACATAAGAATCTTCTGAGTAGATGAGAATTTCTACACAGTGTAATTTGTTTGATTCTCTTATAAATTGCAGCTTTCTGTACCTTTTTTTTATCATGTACAGGGCTCCAATTCTTAAAGCTATAACACAGTTTTAAGGTGCCACATTTTTTCAATTTCAAGATCCTTATATTTTGTCATCTTCTTTAACAGATATATTTTTATTTAATGGCACTGCCATTTCTGAGAAGGCATTTTTTATGTTTGTAGTCTTTAATTATAATGGCTTATCTATTAGCTTTTATATGGCAGTATGAATAGTAAAGTCCCTTATTATTGTTGTGTGTAGTATCATCTTGATAGAGAGCAATTTTAAGTGCCTAATTAGCAAGTCCCCTCTGGGGTCTATGAGTAGAAAGGGCACTGTAGGAGAGTTATCTATGCACATTTCAGTTGTTTGTTTTGCAGGTGATATGTGCAGTTCCACAGAAAGTAATCTTTTGTAGCTCGAAGATGCTGATGTGTCCAGGAATTTTATTCACATGATTTCTGGTAACCTTTTTCATCATACAATGCCCCTATCACTCACAACGAGGATAATCATAGTTTTAAGTTTCCATATTTTTGTTACTTTAAAATTGCAGGCCCTTATAATTTGACTGTTTTTTTTTTAAATTCTTTTTTAGTAACATTGGAATCCTGTGGACAAGTCATATCAATTAGTTGGCAGGTTTCTTTTTTGAAATCTTTTATGACTATGCCTGGTCTATTTGCATCAATTTTCCTGTCTTTGAGGATTTGGGAAATTCCACAGTATAGTCAGTCCATCACCATTTGTGACTTCATTCGAGCAGTGCTTGTACCACATATCTGGAGATTCAATGCCATAGTTCAAACAGACATGCCAATGAATATATTATCTTGGCCTGTCATGTTTAATGATGTATTTCTCAGCAAGGACTTGGTATCCTGATATCATGTGGTCAGCCGTTTCATCAAATTTATGGTATAAATGACAGGTGGGATTTGAGCCATCTTTGTTGATTTTAGTCTTGTAAGCCTTAGTTAAGACATTAGTCTTGTGCTGGCATAATAAAGCCTTCTGTCTCCTCTTTAAGATCACTGCTTCTAAGTCACTGATGACTTTGATGTACCTCAAATCTCCATTTTTGTTCAAAAATCTTCATATAAGCAGCTTAAACCAGTAACTAAATTTTCTTTAATACAACAGTGGGAGTTTCAGGATATTTGTCATCTTGAGTATCTGTTACATCTAAATAGTTTTGTATTTCTTGGCTTTGTTTAATAATTGAAATATTCTTCATACTCTCATGCTCGAGTGTGGCCTTCAGATACTTATCTCCTGCCCTTTCCAAATATATTACTCGGCCTGTGATTGATGTTTTAAAAGATATTTCTAACTGAATGAGTCCTTGTTCACCAGTTTTCCTAGGGAGGTATATTCTATCAACATCAGCTTTAGAGTGGAACATGCAATATTATTCAGTAACTTACATATTTTGGAATCAATGTGTGCTATATAACTAAAGCTCCATTTTATGTCACCAAAACTGTAAGTAACAATGGCTATTGCTAGCGAATTTATTGTGTCTATTTTATTTGGTGACATCAATTCTGACTGAAGTACCAGTTGCACTCAACAGTAACATTCTTTTCTTATCTTTTCCTTCATTTTTGAGTGTTGTATGCCATTTTAGTCTTGAATACCTAAATATTTGTAAACATTTTCTTATTGTAGCTTCTTGATGGAGGTGTTGATATCTGGCACTACATTACTAGATATCCCAGCTTTAAACATTGCCTTGGCACATTTGTCCAGCCCAAATTCCATTCTGATATTATCATTGAAATCCATCTCTAGTAGGGATTTGAGATCATTGTCATTTCCCACATAAAATTTGAGGTCATTCATATAGAAGAGGTAGCTAATGGTATTTTTGTAACCCCCCCCCCTCCATGTTTGAATCATTGAGCAATTTGGTTAGAGGGGGAAAAGAGCAAGACAAAAGAGGAGTGGTGGGAGTGAATCCCCTTTGTACATCCCACCGTCGATGCTTGTATTATTTATTTTAATATCATTGTTTTTAATGTCTTTGTTTGAGAGATGTCTTTTATGCATGCAGACTAGTCTTAATAAATTCAATATTGGGTGAAATTTATAAATCTATAGGGGGCTTTAATCACCCAGTCATTGGGGGTGGGGGGATACTAGCAAAAGTTTTTTTTTTTTTTTTTGTAATCTAAGTATAAGTGCCAACATCATCAACAACAATAACATCTATAATAATTAAAAAACAAGAAAAGAAAAAAAGAGCTTGTCCAAGAATGGAAATGATCATTTAGACAGTTTGGTCATTAAAAGAATAGTGACTTCTATGAGTAAAGTAATGTATATATATGTAATTGAAATGTACTTCTGAGATTGTCTCTTGTTGAAGATGAGAAGTTTGAAAATAGAATCATCAAAATAATTAAGTTTATTAAACAAATTCCATTGTATAAAATATACAATTGAATTGTCATTATAATCATGATTGTTAGATTTTCTTTAAATTTTCTTCCAGATTTTTTGCCAATGTTAACCTATGTAATTGTAAATGCTGGGTTGGTATCTGCTGAGATTGAAGCTGACTACATGTGGGGACTTTTACATACGTCCCAAGTGAGTGCAGATGCCAACTACTACTTATCAACCCTGAGTAGTGCTGTACTTTTGCTCAAGAACTTTAAAACGATGCAACAGAACCAATCTGGATATTTTGTAAGAGGAATTGCTTTCATATTTTAAATTCTAATTATTTTAGACAGTAGAAAAGAATGATTCTTCATAGCAGATGAGAACTTGGTAGAAATATTAATTTTTAATAAATATTTACTTCTTTTTTCTTTAATTTTATTGCTCTTATTTAAACTTAGAAAAAACAATTGACAAGTGCAGCATTATTTGCGCATTGTTATATAAGAAAATTAAGCAAATGTGATTACCTATCAAAAGTTGATTATTGATTTACAATTTTTATCTAGCCTGATACAATTCAAATGTATTGAATCTATGCTTGCTGAGAAAAATATATATAAAAAAGAAAAGATCAGCAGAAAGGAAAATGATTTTATTATGTCTTTTTGACCCTAGCTCAATTAGGTCTCATTTAAATACATGTGGAGACCTGCCAAACTCTATCCGTAACATAATCTTTGATAATACAAATATAATAAACTCATTCACATGTAAAAAAGGCTAAAAATAATGGAAGCATTATTAATAAAAAAGAAAAAGCCAGCATTTAATATCAACTATGAACACGGCCACAATGTACTGACCATGTTTGGAAACTAAAGCCTTCCTAAAAAATCTAGATACATAGGTAAAACAATCCATATATTCAGCTAAGGGTAAAGTAAAATTCATCCTTGATAATGGCTAAAAGTATAGCCAAAAGGACTTGGATATATAAAACATTTGGACAATTTTTATATAATTCATGTCCTGAAAAGAAAAAATTATAAGATATGAAAAAATTATATAAAAAACTTAACCACAGCATCTTGTCAGTTGTTTTTAATGAAACTTGCATCCCAAACACACACACACACACAAAAATGAAAAATTATTTTTGCTGATGCATTTCATCCTCTGAGGGACTTTATCAAGGCAAAAGTTCCTTTGCCTTGATAAAGTCCCTTAAAGGACAAAATGCCTTGACTAAGATAAATTTTCATTTTGTCCTTTTATCGATGTACTCTATCTGAAATTTTTACACATACACAATGGTGGTATCTTACTGATTCTTAAATTTATAAAAACTTAGCAAATTGGTTGTGGGATTATCTGAAAATAATCTTACATATTAATAGCCAATGTCCTAAGTTAAATTTAGTTATGCTATGCTTGCACGCATACCTAGTAAAACAGATACACACACATCCCCCACCCACTCAAAAATAATTCTCATAACATTAATTAATTAATATTGTGAACCCAGATTCTTGAAACATTTGAAGAAGGTGTAATTCTCTGGAAAGATGCTGAAGAGAAGTTACTGGACTTTCGTAAATTATTTCACCATGAGATTTCTGTTAATGATTTCCCTTGATTGCATCAAAAATGTAATACAAATTACCATAAACATTTTGATACTATAAAGTGATTTGTTTCCATTCTGAGATTGTAAAGAAAATAAGCAGATTAGGTTTCTAAAGCTTACCTCTCTTTATAGAACTGTTTCATGGAAATTTTGGATGCCATTATTGTAATCATATATATATATATATATATATATATATATATATATATATATATATAATGTCATCCACAGACAGACTGTTTAAGCTGTTTACAGCTCATCAGTGCGGACTAGACATCCGTTTGCCTCTAGCTAGGATCGAAACCCGACTGAATTGGTGTCAGTCGGAGCTTCTAACCACTAAGCCGTCGGCGCACGGTAGGAATGGAGGTAGATTTTTAGCGCATTTACTTTTGTAAACATGCCCAGTGACTGACAGTGACTCAATTCGCTTACGCGAAGAGTCTCGCTATATTAGCTATAATAGTCACTGTTTACAAACCCACACCCTACTCCCAGAGTGCTCAACTGAAATCAAATTCAGGAGCTAATATAATGTCATCCACAGACAGACTGTTTCGCTGTTTACAGCTCATCAGTGCGGCTAGACATATATATATATATATACATACATACATATATATATATATATATATATATATATATATATATATATATATATATATATATATATATACACACACACACACACATTTGTACAATGGGTAAATTGCCACCAATTTATATTTTTAATTTCAAGCATGCATGTTGTTTGTTTTTAATTTTGTCACTGCACAGTAGAGTTGTGGTCAGTTGGATACCATCTATGAGAAAAAGAGCACCATGACACAATTTATTCTACCAGAAATTTGGAAACAGCATACTGTACTGCTTGGCATTTATGCTGGAATCTTCAATATGAACATTTCAGAGTGTTTGGGTGTCAATCTGAGGGCAGTGCAGAGGATTAAAAAAAAAGTTGGATCCGGTCAACATCATGGTGTTTGAAGTGATCACTAGTGATGGTGATGCTATGCCTCCATTCATCTTCATTCACAGGGCCTCAGACTCAACACAGAGACCTACATCAAGTGCTTTGAGAAGGTAGTACTGCCCTGGGTGAAGAGGGTGGCTGCTAGAAGAACCTATGTCTGGCAACAGGACTCTGCACCATGTCACACAAGCAGAAGAATCCAGTCATGGCTGTCAGACAATTTCTGCGACCACATCACTCTTTACATCTGGCCACCTAAGTCTTCAGACTGCAACCCTCTTGATTATTATGTGTGGAGTGCAGTTGAGTGAGAGACTAATAAAACTCCTTGTGACATCAAAGATGAACTGAAGGCAAGGATTATTCACCAACTTAAACAAGGAGACTGTCCAGAAAGTTGCAGGAGATTCCAAAGTAATCTGGAGGCCGTGGTAGAAGCCAATGACGATTTTATGAAATAAATTCACTCTTTAATATTTTTATGGAATTTTGGAAAATATATCTGTTAAAATGAGATGTCAGTATTATTTTCATTTTTGCATATTTTAGACAATTTATCCATTGTACCATATATATATATATATATATATATATATATAACATAAAAATGAAACTATTGGCCATCTGAATGGGGTAATAGTTTCATTTTTATGTAATTCATTTATATATATGCTCTATAATGAATATATTGAGCTCTCTTGTGGCTCAGTTTTAATATTTTATATTTTTTAGGATCTACTTGGATTACTTACCCACGGATTTTTACCTCTCTCTCTCTCTCTCTATATATATATATATATATATATATATATATATATATATATATATATATATATATATATATAGTTGAATGGATATCCATTCAACTGAATATGTTAGCTCTATCATTGATATTGAGTACTTTCCAATAAGCTCTGCACATATATATATATATATATATATATATATACACACACTTACATTCTATTTATCTTTGTCTTAATTTGAATCTCCTCTAGAAAATTGTAGTTTTTATTAGTAATTATTTAATGTCAGTTTCAGTTAAAATTACAAGCCAATTTGAAATCATTAACATAGAAGTTTTCAATTAAATATTTGTTAAATGTTTATAAATTACATGAGTCTATATAAAAAATATCGGAGCTAGAATAAATGATCCAAATGCCAAGTGTAAATAAGAAGACAAACAGTTTTTAGCAAATTTTTATCCATTTAAGTATATAGATTGAATTTTGTGAACTTTACCTAAAGAATTGATCGTCATTTATTGCATTATATCATATAGGGTCGACTACCGAGCATCAGTGATATGCAAGGCTTTTTGAAAGTAGCTTTTCCAGATGAGATCTGTGACAGTATCATATGGAAAACTTTGCCCGTTCGACCAAACATGACTACACGAGATGTGTGTAAGTAAAGAAAAACTGGTTTTATTTCACAAAATACTCACTTCCTTTAATCTCATTTCAGAAAAATATATCTGAAAAAAAATCTTTTATCAGCCAAATAATGCAAATATTATTTGAGGAAATCTTTATAGAAAACTATAATCATTTTTTTTATTTTTACTTTTGATTTTTTAATGCACTTTTTAAAGGTAATGTAATTCTGTTGTAGATACAAATGTTTGATTGAATATAAGGGAAACATTTCTTTATTTTAAAAATAATTATGTAGGCTGTTAGAAACTTATAAAAAAAAAGAAAGGTAAAATGAAATTGAAAAGCTATTCTTTCAAACTATTCTTCATTTTTTATTGAGTGCTCTATAAATCTGAACTTGAACCAAAGTTTTCATCATTCAACAAATATCAACTTAAGATGCTTAATGTTTATTAGTTAAAACTAATCCGAAATTCATCATCATATTTTTCTGCATGTCATTGAAAACTGCAGCATGGCAGTATTGTTTGCTGAAAGGGAGACAACTCTTGACTTCAAAATTATAAAATATTTTTGCTTTACATGCTTTTAAGAAACTAATCACATTACAAAACAATTATCAGATTAGTGTGATATTTTTTTTGCCGGAATTCTATGAACAAATCTAAACATTTATTTCTTATCAGTGGCATTTATTTATAATATATTTCTGATTTCATAAACTTACAATTATTAATTCATATTTAAAATTAGTTACAGAAGTTATCTGTACATATAATTTGTGTCACTGTGTGAAATTGTTGATTTTCTTTTGATTAACCAGGTGCAATGATTGCTCATAAATTCAGGATTACAAATCCTCAGGATTATGATCTCTATATTCTTATTAATGGACAAGGTGAGTCATTATTTTTCAGACTTTTCATTTCTTCTATGTCTTGTCTTTTATTTAGCTTCTGTTAGAAAAAAAAATTGATACCAAAAAATTTGTTTCACATTGTCTTGTACAATATTTAAATTCTCACTGTTTGACTTCTTTTAGTGAAATTAATCTTTTTTGTTTTTGGAAATACTGCTGACACAATTCAATTATTTTTAAATGTTAAAGTCATGATTCTTACTGCACTGAAAACAGTTGAAGATTTTGTAGAATGATCTTCAATTTTTGATATTTCAGAAAAATTTAAATTAATTTTTGAGGTAAATGCAAATAAGCCAAATATTTTTGTTAGAAAATTTTCTGGTACAGTTGGGGAATTTTATAAAACAAATTATTTTTGCATTTTTTTCTATGAATTTAAAAAATGAATATTTTGTGAAGCTTTTACTACAGAAACCCAACTCTACATTAGAATGAAAATATTTTTACTTTTCAAAAATCTTTTTAAAATATTCTTTCAAGATGTTCTTTGCTAAATAAATTTTAATAAAGAGAGGAAAATAAGTGGATATTTACAAGGAAATTCTACCAGGCAATTTTTCTCAAGTGCTGTTTTTTATCTATTTCCTTTTCCTTACTAGTCAATTTTTCTCAATTATTTAAGTTACCATTCAAAAAAACATCTCTGGAGCATGAAATTGTAAAACAGAAAAATTGATAGCTTTGCTTCTTAAATATTTTTCATTGAAAACTTCTTACATAAACATGATAGACATTAATGTTGTAAGAATTACTCTTTATATGAAAGTAATATTGCAATTACATTCTGGTTTTCTTTCTCTTTTGCCAGAAAAAGCCTTGAATGAAACAGTCTGTCCACAGAGTGTAAAGATGGAGACAATGAATTCTGGAAAAGAGTGTGTGTTTGCTTTTAAGCGGAAAGCATCCAATATTGCGTGGCCTCGAAAACTTCAGACAACATGAAGGGGATAAAAAATAACAAAAATGAGATAAAAGAAAAAAAATAAACAATCTATTTGAAAGCTGCCATCAAAATAAGATGATTGTAGTTGTTCTTCATAGATTTTACTGGTCAGTTTAGGAAAATAATCTTATTAACCAGAAAGTCAATATGTTTAAAAAATGACATCACACCTAAATCTGAACTAGAATTAAAACTTCTCAGTCATGGTGTCCCAGCATTTTTTTGAAGCATTTTTGAAGGACATTATAAAAATCCTTTGTGGAGAAATTTTCTCCTCTTTGGTTATTATGTTTAATTCCATTAATTTGCAACCGTTTTCAGAGTTCCTATTAAAGGTGATTTTTATCTATTTTGTATTTGATTAAGAAAAAGAAAATTATGTTCTACAAAATTTGGGCCTTAAGTTTTCATTCTGAAGCAATAAACTTTTTATTTAAATGCTAACAGGAAAAAAATTGTTTTTCTGTTTAAAACTCTTTAACAGAAGACAAGCATATTATTTATTGCTATATTAACAGTACAGAGGAGAATATTAAATGTTGATCACAGAAATGTAATTTAGTAGATATATTACTTGGATATATATATATATATATATATATGGTGCAACAGGTATTTGAGAACATCTTTAGTGGATGATCTAAAATTATGTGGCATGTACCAAATTTGAAGATTTCTCTTTCAGTTGTATCAAGAGCATTAACATGACAGCTCCCAATCTTACTCATGAAATAAAAAGGTACACCATGCCATGAGCTGCTAACTGCATCAACTCCAAGATAGTGTCCAGGTGAAGAGGATGAATAACAGGTGACTCTGCATAGACACTATGGAGATCCATCCATAATGATGCAGACCAAATAAATGATGTATCTATGATGTTTCTGGAAATCCTGATCAATAGAAAGCCATGCCATACTTTGTCTCACCACCTATACAGAAGTGCTACACCTGTTGGTCAACTTCTGGATTGAGTGGGTAGCCATATATGTTCCAGCAGGATCTCTGCTCCATCACACATAGCTCTAATAATATCCAGGAGTGTCTGCCCAAGAATTTTCATAATCCTATTACACCGATCTGCCTTCCCAAAAATCCACCAACATGTTGCCACCTAACTCTCCTGATTTGAATGTCTGGTACATTCTTGAGTGGGAGATCAACCAGTTGTCGACAATACTAAGGACACATGTTGAAGGCCACTATTGTGTACGTCATGGTTAACATGAACAAGAACTCCACTTGATTCAATATTTGTATCAAGTGGCAAGTCTCACTTTCAAGGCTGCAGCGAGAATGAGAATAACCTTTTCCTGTTTTTCTACGTTGTGAACATTTGTCCAAATCTTTTTTTTAAAAATATACTGATTTATTATTTTCTACTGAAAAGCTTTTATTTTCTTTGTTATAATTTATTCTCAAGTACATGGTGCACCATATCTATATCTATATATTATATATATATATATATATATATATATATATATATATACACACAAACACACACTTGTGTATAAGTACAGGTTACTAAATAAAAATCTTTTACTCTTACCTTGATGAAGTTCCTCAATGGATGAAACATGTTGGCATAAAAGGTTTTCCTCTTGTCATTTCTTTTATTACATATATTATAAGATAAAAAACAAATACAAAATGTTTATCAATCTAACATATTTCATTTTTATTAAAGCTTCATCAGAGAATGAGATATGGAGAAAAAGAAAGAAAGAAATTCTGGTATTTTTATTTTTGTATTTGATTTTTTATTTGTTAATCAGTTTTATGTGTATTTGACTTGTTAAACAAATGTTAGTATAATTTGTGGCATTCCAAATTCAAGGAGAAATGGCATGCCTTTTAAAAATTTCAATAAATTAACTGATTTCAAACCTAGCTGAGAAACTGTAAATATTGCTTTGTGCATGTAAGTTTATAATAATTCTACTTTGTTGATGTGTGTATGTTTAAAAAAGAAAAAAAAATCCCAAATCAACCTACAAAAAAACATCAAATCTACGAGACATATATACATACATACATACATATATACATACACTTATGAATATACATTAGCATGTGAACCCCACACAAACAAACTAGAATTATTATACACTTACATACATAAAGCAATATTTATGGTTTTTCAGTTAGCCTTAGAATCTTAATTTGGAATTTCAAAAGGACACGCTCTCTCTCCTTGAATCCAGAATGCCATAAATTTTACTAATGTTTGTTTAATAAATTGAATGCACATGAAACCTGATTAACCAATGAAAACCAAACACAAAAATAAAAATATCAGAATTTCTTTTTTCTTTTTCTCTAGATCTCATTTTCTGATGAAGTTTTAATGAAAGTGAAATATGTTAGATTGATAAACATTTTCTATTTGTTCTTTATCTTATTCTGTTGGATTCCAATCTATATTTGATCTGTATTTGCTTCCAATTCATAGATGTGTATGTATGAAGTACTTTTAAGAGTTTATTCATACATTGTAGTATTACAAGCATCAAGTGAAAAACAAAAATTAGAATTAGATAAAAACTTTAAGAAAATAAAATATTTGATAGTCAACTTTGTAGAATATTTACAATGAAAAATTTAATTCATTCATTTATTATTCTTCAAAAGCCTTTCCCAAATCTGATGCGAAAAGTGGTTGACAGTGAAATGGAAGTCGATGCTTGAATGTTCATGTTTGTACTTTTATTTGAGAATTGTATTCTGACATTGTTTACACAGCCTGAAGCAGCTTTGAATCCTTTTATATTGTTCTTGAGGTTTTTTTTTTTTAACAGGAAAGTCAACATTGCTTTTTCTATTTTTCTTCCAATACCATAGACAAAATATTTACTACTTTCGAATTTCAAATTCAATTGTTTTTCTTTTAGGCTTCTCATTTTGCTTTTAAAGTTGATACCATGTATTTTGATAAGGTGTTGATATCATTTGAGCTGTTCTATCATCATCTCAATGCTTTTTTCTTGAAATTGTCTTTGTGTTGTCAATGGCCTTAGAGCACATCATTCTTACTTATTAAAATCAATATGATTCCTCCTTGATTTAAATTCATTCATCTAACAGAAAAACATATTGTCAGATTTTAAGAGTAAGACATTGGGGAATACTGGGCTGATATGTTGGCAGTCTTCACCTTCCCAACAACATAGAATGTACTCAGTTCAGTCCTGCATTTTTAATTGAAACTTTCACTATACTAAAAGGATAGACGAAATAAAATATACGTTTTTGCAAAAACTTATAAAAAATAAATTACTGAAAAAAATTACAAATAAAAAGAACTAAATCTAATATACAAAAAATATTCAAGATAAATTATACAAAAAAGTTTAAAAAGTTGTTTTCTGGCAGCTTAGAAAATGTTATTAAAATATTAAATATGTAGATATTTAAACAAATTATGCAAATAAAAGCATAAATTAATTTGGAAAGAACAATTTATATAAGTTATGTAAAATCAATTTATTACACGTTAAAAAGCATTGTTTTCTTAGTTTTGAAAATACGTAATTCCCATTTTCTTTGAGAATGTTTCTTGAAAACTCACTGGAGTTTTCTCCCTTTATTAAATTAAGAATCTGCAAACACTGCCAATAATAAAACTGTTAATTTTGGTAGCTTTTGTGAAACTAACATTTCACTTATTAGAATTTCAGAGAAATTAAATTGAAACTAAATAGTTTTTTTTTTCTCTCATTTCCTGGAGATTTTGTACATTTCTGCCTCATTGTCATCATCAAATAAATTTTATCAATAGAAGAAAATAAAAAACTTATTCACGGGCAAAATTTTGCAATTCCGTACTCTAAAAATATTTTAAAAATTTGTTTGTCAAATTAAAAATCTGTACCTTAAAAAAATTACTGAAAAGAACTTTTATTTATTATGAAGGACTTTATTTTAAAGTGAATTTCTTTCTGATTATTTCTATTTTCTTTGTGTGATCTTCTGTTAAAATGTTTTGAAGTGGATGACAAAAAATCTTGCAAGAAATTTCCATATCTTTTAGGTCTTTTTATTCTTTATTCTGGATACAAGACAATTCCCAGATGGTAATGAAGGCAATGATTGTTAAGGTGTGACTGACAAAATATTTTGTTGATTTGATGTCTCACCAAAATTTCCAGGTTCCAGGGATTAAAAATGACACTTAAAAAAAAAAAAAATTCATTTTGACAATCAATAAGAAAATGAGAATATTTTTGTGCAGAAAAAAAGAGTGATTATTAATCTTATTTTATTGTAGATTGACAATTGTATATTATGTAAACTACATGTTGTTTAAAGCTTTGTTGCTACAGTAAATGTCATTTCACAAAATTATTTTTGTTAGTCTCTCCAAATACTTGTGCAGATATAATTGGAAAAGAGGCCTTTTCTGTCCAACTCTAAAAAACTATTTAGAATCTGAGTAAGTAAAGTAAGATTGATAAAATGGCCCAGAAATTTTGATATATTTTTTTCTTTTACTGCAATATTGTAGAACTCTTCATGAAAATAGCAATAAACAAACATAAGAATAAATGTGGTTGTTTTGCTTGTACTTAATTATCTTTGATATAATGTTTAGAAAGGATTATAACTTATAATTGTGAAATTTTGCTTACAAAAAACCAAGTGAAAACACCCAATTAAATTTCTTTCATTATGAGAAAAATATTTTGCAATGCAGTCAATATTTTTTTTTCATTCAGTTGCTTCTGTTTAAGCTGTTTACAAATATTTGTTTTGGAAACAAAAATTTATTAACTATTTTTAATTATAAAACATGTTTTTAAAAAAAATCCAGTATTGAAATCAAGTAGCATAGAAAAATTTATTTTATTCAGGTTTATTATTGATGATGGTTAATAAAGTATCTGGAAGCTTTTTTTTG